TAAAGAATTTATTTGTAAATCAGGGTGGAAAATAAGTATTTGGTCACTTCAAACAAGGACAATCTCTGGTTCTCACAGACCTGTAACGTCTTCTTTAAGAAGCTTTTCTGTTCTCCACTCGTTACCTGTATCAATGGCACCTGTTTGAACTCATTATCTGTATAAAAGACACCTGTCCACAGCTTCAAACAAGCAGACTCCAAACTCCACTATGGCCAAGACCAAAGAGCTTTCGAAGGACACCAGGAAAAGAATTGTAGACCTGCACCAGACTGGGAAGAGTGAATCTACAATAGGCAAGCAGCTTGGTGTGAAAAAATCAACTGTGGGAGCAATTATCAGAAAATGGAAGACATACAAGACCACTGATAATCTCCCTCGATCTGGGGCTCCACGCAAGATCTCATCCCGTGGGGTCAAAATGATCATGAGAACGGTGAGCAAGAATCCCAGAACCACACGGGGGGACCTGGTGAATGACCTGCAGAGAGCTGGGACCACAGTAACAAAGTTCACCATCAGTAACACACTACAACGGCAGGGAATCAAATCCTGCAGTGCCAGACGTGTTCCGCTGCTGAAGCCAGTGCATGTCCAGGCCCGTCTGAAATTTGCCAGAGAGCACATGGATGATACAGCAGAGGATTGGGAGAAGGTCATGTGGTCAGATGAAACCAAAGTAGAACTTTTTGCTATAAACTCAACTCGTCGTGTTTAGAGGGAGAAGAATACTGAGTTGCATCCCAAGAACACCATACCTACTGTGAAGCATGGAGGTGGGAACATCATGCGTTGGGGCTGTTTTTCTGCTTAGGGGACAGGACGACTGATCCGTGTTAAGGACAGAATGAATGGGGCCATGTATCGTGAGATTCTGAGCCAAAACCTCCTTCCATCAGTGAGAGCTTTGAAGATGAAACGTGGCTGGGTCTTCCAACACGACAATGATCCCAAACACACCGCCCGGGCAACAAAGGAGTGGCTCCGTAAGAAGCATTTGAAAGTCCTGGAGTGGCCTAGCCAGTCTCCAGACCTCAACCCCATAGAAAATCTGTGGAGGGAGTTGAAAGTCCGTGTTGCTCGGCGACAGCCCCAAAACATCACTGCTCTCGAGAAGATCTGCATGGAGGAATGGGCCAAAATACCAGCTACTGTGTGTGCAAACCTGGTAAAGACCTATAGTAATCGTTTGACCTCTGTTATTGCCAACAAAGGTTATGTTACAAAGTACTGAGTTGAATTTTTGTTATTGACCAAATACTTATTTTCCACCCTGATTTACAAATAAATTCTTTAAAAATCCTGCCATGTGAAGTCATGGATTTTTTTTCACATTCTGTCTCTCACAGTTGAAGTGTACCTATGATGTAAATTACTGACCTCTGTCATTATTTTAAGTGGGAGAACTTGCACAATCGGTGGCTGACTAAATACTTTTTTGCCCCACTGTAAATGCACCACAAATTATCACAAATCAGTACAAGCAAAACAGGCCTTTATGGTACTGTATTACAAACAACACCATTATACATTGGTGATCTTCTCAGTCCCTACACCCCCAGCAGGTCCAGTAACCAAAGCCTTCTGGTTGTGCAGCGCACCAGGCTAAAGACCAAAGGTGACAGATGATCTGCTGCTGTGGCCCCCAGACTCTGGAATTCTCCCCCTGAGCCTGAGATCAGTGGACTCAGTGGTCTCCTTTAAGAAGCAGCTGAAAACTCACCTGTTCAGGCTTTGGTGTGACTTTCATCACCACCCTCTCCTTATTCTGCTTTTTCTACCAGTTCTGCCTTTCTCTGGATCCACTGATTACCTCTTTCTCATTCATTTTCTTTTTCACTTTCCTCACATTTAATGACAATTTTTAACTTTTCTTATTTTTATGTTTTTGTTCCTTTATTTATATACATATTTTAAAAAATTTTAAGTGCCTCTTGTTTGTTTTCTTGAGAGGTGCTATAGAAAAGATGATTTCTTCTTCTTCACTTGGTGGTGCAAAAGTGCTCACAGATCAAAAAGGACTAAGATGCAAAGACAAAAAAGAAGTGTTAGAGCCCGCAAAGATAAGGCGTCAAAATGTTGGTTTCATCATTTCACGGCTGTGTGCGAGTCATCTTTTGCTTTTTGAAAGTCAGCAAATCACACAAAAATTTGTTGCATCAAGTAAAAATTGGCACCAACTTTGAGAAGCGTTGTGTGGAAATGACTGAACGTTTCAGTGTTTTCTCTTTAGTGATGTATTTCATTAAATCAGCTGTTCGGGGTTAAAAAACAAACTGAAGCTGACAGTAAATCCTTTATTTTTAGGCCACATCTTCCTCCTCTGAGTTCAAATCTTGACTAACGGTTTCCCATGTGCCCACGCACACCAGTCACCTCCATGTCACATGGGAAAATCATACAAGCTACTTCAGGGATTCCTCATCAACTAATATTCCTAAATTAGGTCAACTTCCTTGCTGATAATTTATCAGTCAAAGTGTGTTTATTGAGTTCATTTTTATAAGTTGAAATATTTCATGTGAAGAAACATGCACTCAACCTGTGAAAATGTAAACAAATACACACAGATGTAACTACAGATCAAATGACCACATTTCCTGCAGGAAACATTGCCTGTAAAATGTTAAGACTTTTTTCTTAGAAAAAGAAAATAGGTACCTGCATCCTGGAACATTTGATAGTGAAGCAGATAAACTTCCATACATCACACTTTCCTAATTTGGAGCGTAACCCCCCAGCAGTGACGTGTCTGTGGTGATGATGTCGATGTGCACCTACATAAGTGACAGTAGAAAGTGTGAAGTCGCTGTGTCAAAGAGCCTCTCATTAAGAGATGTGGAACTTCAGAAGCCAGTGGTTTACACTCATAATGGTGGTGGTGATGGGCGTCTCAGTGAACTCAGCTCCTGCAAAAAGATGCCCAAATGAAAATGAATGCAAACGGATGCTGAAACTAATTAAACAGGAAGCTTTGGATGTGTTAAATGAAAAGGTAAGAAAAGCAGAAACTTACTTCACTGGTTGGTTTTATTTGTTGCTGGTTTGGTTTCCAATAACCAAATGATGTCATCATAGTTGGAGATGCAAGTGAAGTGGATTTCACCAGGTCCAACCAAGTGTGTGGTACGTTGGAAACTTTATTTATTTATGTTTTGGGTCAGCTCATTCAGACCTGATCGAACAGAGAGACTTGTTATTTTAAAGCCTTTGAACTCTGAATGAGTTTAGAGATGTAATAACCATGAATGACTAATGCAGCAGGATGCCATTAACTGTCAACATCTCCTCATAGCGGCACTTCTTCTGTTTGGCTGAGAAGGCTCTGTTGGAACTGGAAAATGCCAAACCAGAGAACTTTGGGCTGGATAAACTTCACAGACTTATGATTCAATACAACAAGCAGGTACAGAACTCTTCTTTCCTTTTTAAAACATACAGACGCAATTGGCTGCTTGTGTCCTACATCCTGCTGCTGTGTGCTGGACTTTCTCAGGGGCAGTCTACATCTTGGGTCCTCTAATGTTCTTGTACTGTCATAATTATTGACACTACTGTCCTTGAGTCTTGATGTTACAGCTGAGATCAAGAGTCAGTAGACGTTAGTTTAAAGTACCTTTACTTGTCACACTGGTGAAATTTGTTCTCTGCATTTGACCCATCCCCTGGTGGAGCAGTGAGCTGCAGACACGGCCACGCTCCAATACTATTTAGTGGTTTAACCCCCAATATAAACCCCTTAATGCATATCAAGCTGGGAGGCATTGGATCCAAGTCTTTGGTTTGACCCAAGTGTGGATTTGAACCAGTGTGGTCTGATCTGCTCAAGTCCATCTGCTTCAAGGTTTATCACGTTGAAGTTCAGAGATGTTCTGCAGACTTTGGTTGGTCCAGTGGTTATTTGAGAGCCTTCAGTCGCTGAGAACCAATTTTGGACCATTTTCTGTAAATCCTAGAGAGGGTTGTGGGTGAAAATCCCAGTAGATCAGCAGTTTCTGTCTGGCATTGCTTTTCTTCTTTATTCCGTTGTCTTGGGTGAACTTCAGCTTCGTTAAGTAGATGTTTAAACAGATGGGCTTTAACAAGCGTTTTATCAGGTTCAAATATAATTTTGCAAATGATTGTGTTACAGGCTCACGATGCCCACTGTAAGGATACACGGGACCTTTGGTATCCAATAGAAAAGTTTCTGGGAGAGGTGACGACGTGTGTCGATTACGCCATAAACAACAAAACCAGCACAAGGCTGAACATGAAGAAAAAAGTAAAACACATCTAATATGTAAACATTATTTATTCTATGTTTCCATTGTATTTATTTTATTTGGCATCTGATGGCTTCTACATCAATAAAACAAAAACGTAGGATGCTTAAACACACCCCATTTTGGACCAACCCAACATACAGAGGAGGTCATTTGTAGTTTGTTGCTTTGAACTAAAACATTGAACGATGTGTGATCCTAAAGACATCTGTGGTATAGCAAATTAACTTTTGTTCAGAAATATTTGTGCTGAATTCTGACAAAGCTAAATGTTTAGGCTCAAAAGGACTTTCTCAGACTCCACAAATTCAAATCCTAGTCTGAGTATCCACTACCAGATCTTCTGAAATAGACAGTGTGGTGTGTGGACCACACCAAAACCACAGAACATGAATGGATCAAACACAACTAATATATTAGTTATTTATTATATTTATTTTTTTATTTCAGTATTTATTTCAGGTTTTGCATTAATTTGTGAATTTGTGTGTGCTTCTTTTGCATTTGCAACTGCAATAAATGAAAATGTGACAGAAATCTGAGTTTAACCATTACTGCTGGTGGCTGACATGGCTTGTTAATCTTCAAGAATATAGTTTGGTGTCCACTGTGGTAACTAATATGCAGGGAAGGGTTAATGATGAGCTTGGGTAACTCCTACAGCATCAAAGTCAGTGTATATATAATCATTATTCACATTTTTTTATTCTTTTCAAAAAATGAGCAACTAGAAAGTCTGATAGACAGATATAATAATTTAATAAATAAAATCCAGAGGTTTGTTGGTGTAAACATTTGACAGAACATGAATTCAGTTTGCAACCACTACAGAACACCATCAAATGAAAATGCATTCCCACAAGCGTGTTAACACTTAAAAATAAAGATGACCTGCTCAGAGTAACAAATGGCACCGATGGACGAGCTGGACAGCATGCTTCTGCTTTCTGACTTAAAGGAAAGCACGTTTTTTTATTTACAGAGTTACATTACGTTTCCTTTTCTCCTGTTTTTTAGATGCCAACTGAACCCATCAATAGAGCTTTGTAATTTAGAGAATAATTAGTGGAATTTAATTGCATGTATTTAGTGTTTCCTTAGACTCGAATCTGTCAGGCTGCAGGAAATGAAGAGAACATTAGTCATTCTTTGTGAACGTTTAACCGTGTGTTAATGCAGCCCACCACATCTCAGAAAAACACTTTGAAGTTTGTAGACAAAACAAGCTCGTCTTCATCAGTTCCTTCATATTTATTGTGATTTTCATGAAGCTGTACTCTGAAAAGTGCTCCAAAGAATGGTCAAAGTAGTGTTCCTCTGCACGTGACGCCCCCGCCACCATACTAAAGGTGTGCCTCTTTCACATTTAAAACCTTGTTACAGTGTACACAGAAATGCTCTACTGGTCACCCAGAAGTGAGACTAAATACGTTCCGTTTGGGTTAACATGAATGCTGCTGTGAAACGTGGACCACTTCATCACTGCAGAAGGGACTCATTCGCTGCGTCTGGCTTTGCTGATCTTTTCCTGTCAGAAGATGGATGACAGATAACAGTTATCAACAACTGTGAGATGCTTTTAATATCCTCACTTCTCAGAAGCACAGATCAGCTAACAGCTCATTCAGCTCGCAACTGATTCATATCAACTCAGCTTAAATGTTATTTAAATACACAAACATTTCACAAAACTAGTGGACATGAATAATTCTCAGGTGTGTTGTGTGCATTAAACAAGGACCAACTGAAAGGGGAACAACACAAAAATGTCTTTTTATTTTGTGTTAGTGGTTTTAAGTTCAGACGGAGGATCTTAGATGAATGTTTTATTGGACAGTTCTGTCTTTTCCACAAAAACACAAGTTTGAGAAACTTGGAGCTTTAAAGACTGAGGAAGAGAACTAAACAAAAACATCACTTTACTGTACAAAAGTCATATTTACTCAAAGTTTACTCCGCAAACAACAGGAGTAAATGAACATTAAATTCTGGTATAATAAAAAATGATGATGATCGATCAACACATGAACTTTGTGCTGCAGGAATGATCAAACCCTAACCATCAAAGCTGGGTTTGGTTTATGAGAGATTTTCTGTTATTTATCTAGTGCAAGATTATATAAAGTTTTGTTATTCTTAACAAAATGACTAACTGATACAAAAATGATGCAAAAATTGATTCTAAAATGGAGGTTCAGTTCAGCATATCTGGACATTGCCTATGTATGTAGAACCATCATCAGCAAGGATGAATAATGGAACTTCAGATACCACGCCATATAGGATGAACTCAATAGGAAACCTTAGGAGTGTCCTTGCTGACTAGAGTGGGATGGACTGAATAACGTGTCATAAACAAGAAGATTATTGTTGACTGTTTAATGTGCTGTATTGGTCTTCAGCTTCCTAATAAAATGTAATGAAAATAGAGTTACTAGGGCTGTCCATTTCCAATAACTAAATACATTAAATGACCAACATAAGACTATTATTGTGGACAGATCTGTAAAGAAAAAGGTCAGCTTCAGATTTTATGCCATCCATCCTCGGCTGCTTATCCAGGGTCAGGTCACTGGGGCAGTAGCCTAAGCAGGGAGGCTCAGACTTCCCTCTCCCCAGCCACTTGGGTCAGCTTCTCCGTGGAACCCTAACGTTCACATACCAGCCGAGAGACATGGTTTCTCCAGCGTGTCCTGGGTCTTCCTTTAGATCTTCTCCCGGTGGTACGTGCCCGGAAAACCTCACCAGAGAGGCATCCATGAGGCACCCTGAACAGATGCTCGAGCCACCTCAACTGGCTTCTCTTGATGTGGAGGAGCAGCGGGTCTGCTCCGAGCCCCTCCCAGATGAACGAGCTTCTCACCCTATCTCTAAGGGAGAGACCAGCCACTCTGTGGTGAAAACTCATTTCGGCCGCTTGTATCTGCGATCTCATTCTTTCAGTCACAAACCAAAGCTTGTAACCATAGGTGAGGGTAGGAACGTAGATCGGCCGGTAAATCAAGAGCTTTGCCTTCAAGCTCAGCTCTTTTTCCACCAAGACAGATTGGTACAACCCCCACATCACTGCAGACGCAGCATCAATCTGCCTGTCTGTCTCACGCTCCCTCTCCCTCACCTGTGAACAAGACCCAGAGATACTTAAACTCCTCCACTTGGTGCAGGACCTCATCCCTGACCCGGAGAAGGCATTCTACCCTTTTCCGACTCTCGACCATGTACTCTGATTTAGAGGAGCTGATTCTCATCCCAGATGCTTCACACTCGGCTGCGAACCGCTCCAGCGAAAGCTGAAGATCACGGTCTGATGAAGCCAACAGGACCACATCATCTGCAAAAAGCAGAGACCTGATCCTTAGTCTATCAAAACAGATACCCTCCACACCTTGGCTGCACCTAGAAATCCTGTCCATAAAAGTTATGAACAGAATCTGTGACAAAGGGCAGCCTTGGCGGAGTCCAACTCTCAGTGGGAGCGAGCCCGACTTGCTGCAGGCAATGCGGACCAAGTTCTGACACCGGTCATACAGGGACCTAACAGCCTGTATCAGAGGGTCTGGTACCCCATACTCCCGGAGTACCCCCCTCAGCACGAGGTTGAACACCTTCTCCAAATCCACCAAACACATGTCGCTTGGTTGGGCAACCTCCAGGACCCCCCTAAGGGTATAGAGCTGGTCCAGTGCTCCACGGCTAGGACAAAAACCACATTGCTCCTCCTGAATCTGAGGTTCGACAATCCGACGGACCCTCCTCTCCAGAACCCCTGAATACACATTACCAGGGAGGCTCAGCAGTGTGATCCCCCTGTATTTGGAACACATCCTGTGGTCCCCAGTCTGCCAATCCAGTGGAACTACCCCCAATTTCCACGAGATATTGTAGAACCGCGTCAACCAGCACGCCCCTACAACATCCACAACCCTAAGGAACTCTGGGTGGATCGCATCCACACCTGAAGCCTTGCCACCAAGGCGCTTACCACCTCAGTGACCTCAGCACCAGAGATTAGAAAGCTCAACCCAAATTCCCCAGACTCTGCTTCCTCACTGGATGACAGGCCGGTGGGATTGAGAAGGTCTTTGAAGTACTCTGCCCACTGATCCACAACGTCCCGAGTTGAGGTCAACAGCACATCGTCCTCACTATAAACAGTGTTGGTGGCGCACTGCTTTGAGGCGCCGGACGGTGGACCAGAATCTCTTCCAAGTCGTACAAAAGTCTTGTTCCATGATCTCACTGAACTCCTTCCACGCCCGGGTTTTTGTCTCTGCCACCACCCGAGCCAAATTCCGCTGCCGGTACCCATCAGCTGCCTCTGGAGTCCCACAGGCCAAAAAGACCCAAAAGGCAGACTTTCTGCCATTTTTGTATAAAGTAACATACCTTCTTCCTGTTTTAGGTCTGCCACTCTTGCTACTTTTTGAGGTTCTGGGCCTCTCTAGTTTCATCAGTGACTGCCGCATGCTCTCCTCTGTATATGCTAGATACACGTAGGACAGATCCACCTCAAAGGGCTACAAGTTAAAGGACCAGAAGAAGAAAATGTGTTAGCATTGTCATAAAAGAAAATGAATCCTGTAAATAAAAATGATTGGATGAAAACATCCCTCTGCCACTCACGTCTTTTTCCTTTTTGTCTGGCGCGGGGGTCTGTTTTCTCATGTTGTTTCCAGTGTAAGCCACACATTTCTAAAAGAAAAAAAGAAAGTCCTTCAATCACAAAGAAATAAAGTGAACACCACTGAGTGGATTAAAGGTGCAAAACGAGCTCACCAGCTGCCATTCGCCAATATCTTCATTCCAGTGGACATAATTTTCGATCATTTCCTAAAAAGAAAATACCAGAAATAAAAATAGAAACAATGATGAGAACTGACTGAAAGTGAAACTCCATTCTATTTACCACAGTGACTAGTTTCCATTAAGACAAGAATTTTTTCAAACATGCTACAGACCTGCCAACCATGTCAAGATATTTTGAGTACCAAATGCGCTGCGTTTATTTGCAGATATTTTCAACTCTGTTTCACAAATCTACTAAAGGTTTCACAATTTACCAACTGTCTTTTATGGATTTTGCTGGTAATGTAGTATAAACTAGTCCAGGTTTGATGAGTCTAAAGGTTGTAGTTTTGAGCTGGACCAGATCTAAGGTGGACCAGATGAAACTTGTGTATTTTGTGAATTGTAACAAATCAAAAGTTTCACAAAGGACAAACTAGGTTTTAATGACTCTATTAGTTTTAAATAATCTAGTTAAAGTCTGAAGAGTCTAGATGTTGTAGATTTTGAGCTGAGCCAGTTTTAATGTGGCGAAGAAATGTGATGAAATCTGCTTGCTTTGAACTTTCACAAACGAAATAAAGGTTTTAGAAAACAGAAAATGTCTTAAGGATTCTGTTATTAGTGCAGAAAAACCCAGTCCAGTCTAAGTTTGGTAAATTTTTAATGAGAGCCGAGAAAAGATGCTCAGGGAGAGGAAATATTTGTTGGAATTGCCCTCTCTGACTCTGAAACTAAAATAGGAAACTAACTTCAGCTTCATCTGGTATGTCTTTTTTTGCTTTTAATAATAATTTAATCTCTTGTTCTCGGTAAATAAATAAACAAATAAATAAATATTCACATCGACAAGCCATCTCTGAGGTGATCCATAAGCAGGATTGGTACACTTTACTTCAATAAGTTAATATTGACACAAATCATATTTGTGTCTGTTCTGTCATTTTTAATATATATATATATAATATATATATATATATTTTTTTTACTACATTATGCGTAATAGAAATGCTAATAAAAACACCCACTAATACAAACAAGTGAAACTGGAAAATAAGTTTTCGCACAGACGCTGTGTTGAATGACGCATGATGGCTGCTGTAACGTGAGGAAATATGGGTTTTCTGTGCAAAAGGTTATACTTTGCTCGGCTGGGTCAAGAGCTGGGTCGCTGAGAACTTTCACCCACAGATTAAGACCTGAACGCCAGCGAGTCTGGGAGAAACCATAACATCTGAACACCTGCAGTGCCAGAAGATGTGTTCTCATGGAAAAGCTAGTCATAACATAACAAAGTCTTAAAACTTCCTTTCCTTTATTTTAAATGTTAAATAATCATTTGATCACTTTGCTCATTATAAATGTGTTTTAATCAAATGAATGATTATTATGCTTTGGGTAATCATAATAACTAATGAATCAATGCTTAATTAAATAATGTTTGAAGATGTTTTAGTGGTGACCTTCACACACTCAAACACTCACTCAAACACTCACACACACACAAACTCTCACAGTAAACTCCAAACACATTTGCTGACGCACAAGTTTTGCTTTGAGAAGAGAACTGGGTTTGGTAAGTTTCAGTCTCATGATTCAGTTCGAGTTTGTCAACGAGAGAGTTCGGACGTGTTGAACACGCACCCGGGGAAGGGAGCCTGCGGAGCCTCCTGTCCCCACGCTATTCTTGTCAAGCCAGACAGGAATAGCTGAATTGCAACCGCTAACGCAGACTCGTCCAGAGTCTTTGATTTTCTGAGTAAATTAAACTTAAGAAAGCGCATCTGCAAACGCTTTATCATCACGTGTACCGAGGTCATCTCTGGACCGGGTCGGAGCACACCTTCGTCTTCTCTGTCAGCCAAGGTGCCCTGGATGAAACATCGTCCTTTGACGTCCCGGGTCTAAAAGAGGGTCCGAATACGGTGAGGCAGTCCACGAGAGATAGCGTCTGATGCATCTTTTCCAACAAAACCTAAGTTTATTCAAACCATCACTTTTCACTCAGACACCTGTTTCTTCCTGAAGCAAAATCAGACGCACTCATCTCACCTTATTCTCAATTTTCACTACATTTTGCACACACGCATCCATAATCACATCACTCTGAATCTTCAGCACATCCAACACAAGGTCTATTTGAGCAAGTTTACAATATCAACTGTTAAAGATTGTTCAACAAAGTTGCCAATGTTGATTGTTGTTTCCTATGCTTGTCATTTCAAAATCATTAGTTTGATTTGAAGAATTAAATCTTTTAACTTTCAAACTTGTCTCTTCATTGAACTGAAACACAGACCCACGGATATTATCGACAGTTTATCGATGAAAACAACCTTTGAGTCTTCTATCAAATTAATATGTAGAATGGTTCCTCTTTCATAAAAGAGCATAAACCATTACTCTACATAATTGACAGAGCCTAATCAGGTTCACTACACTGCACACGCCCAATCTCCTTTTAAAAAATGTGATCTGCAAATTCTGATCAATGGATCAAACCAGCTGGCTGTCGTTGCTACTGTGGAGCCTGCAGAGACACTGAACGGAGCTCCAGCGTGGACTGGCTTTTAAGCGTTGGCTCACTTGACCAAAGTCCTCCTGAACAACAATAGCCGGCTACAGGGCAACTACAATCAGCAGAGATTATTTTGGTAAGCTATATGTGCGAGCACAGAAATGAAACACACAATTAAAGTAAATAAATGATGCAGATTTTGGTTCTGGAAATGTTCACCATTCTTCCACGCTGGATTTACCATCAGAAAATCCGATTGACTTGCATGTTGTCTGTCCAGCTGTGTGTTCACCTCATCGGCTAGCGGGCTTGCGGATAATGAAAGTTGGGTGACCCAGCTGCACTCCTCCGGAAGTCTCAGATATTCGTTCTCCTCGCTGTATTCCAGAGGAAAATTATCTGACCGACTAGCAGAGGTTTCAGAAGCTACGTCTGACTGATGACACATTGTTGTCTGCTATAATGCTGAAGCAAAAACACTGGAGATCCTCTACTGCAGTGGTCCGCAAATGGGGTCCCGCGGGCCACGTACAGCCCGCGAGTCCTCTCTTTGTGGCCCCCAAACCCCGCGTGCACCCCCCACCCCCACCCCCGAAGGCCGACTGGGAAGTGTAGGATAGAGCTGAGGAAAATAATCAATAATCAATGCATCGAGATGCGGGCATAAACGATTTTGCATCATATAAGTGTACCATAATCAATTATAGTGGAATGTAGTTTTGCTATTTTAACGGCGGCACCAGCGTAGCATCCACATCCGTCAGAGCGGTGTTCTCCACATTTACCGGGTAGGAAATTTTGGTCTGCCTTTATGTGGTACTGCAGGGCTGAGCGCTGGAGTTATAACCTGAGACCGAACGATTCAGCCCGATCGGTTCTGTTGGATTTGGGCTGTGAATTGAGCGGGTTGTCGCGAAGCACTCTCTTGCTCGCTCGATCAGCGACTGTAAATGAGTGAGTGAGTGAGAGAGAGCGAGAGAGGAGAGAGACAGAGAGAGAGAGAGAGAGAGAGAGGAGAGAGAGAGAGGGAGAGAGAGAGAGAGAGGAGAGAGAGAGAGAGAGAGAGAGAGAGAGAGAGAGAGAGAGAGAGAGGAGAGAGAGAGAGAGAGAGAGAGAGAGAGAGAGAGAGAGAGAGAGAGAGAGAGGGGGATTTTCTGCTCACACAAGAGAGCGGATCAGAGACGCTCCTCCAAACACTCATTATTATTATCATAATTTCATTATTATTTCTACACGAAGCGCTCAGTCAGACCAAATGCTGTGATGTCGGGAGATCCGGTCTTGGGGGAGGAAGCGGGGTCAGTGACGGCGGCTGCAGCGTGATCATCTGTCTCTTTTATTTAGGGACACGGAGAAGTTAAAAGGAGAGACAAATAAACTGATGTTAAATTCAGTTTAAATAGAAACTGGGAGAAGCTTTGGTTCATTTTAAGTTACAGGAGATCTGTCTCCTACCTGCTCCTCCAGAGACAGCATGGACATGAGGGTTACATGGTGAAGGTTAGTGCAGTCACACAGCCGAGCTGGGAGGGGGACCGGTGTTGTCCTTTATATTGCAAGCTTGTGTGTTATGTGCATTACAGCCAGCGATCCAAACAGCAGCAGCCCCCCCCCCCCCCCCCCCCCCAAAACCATACCATTTAACTATAAAAATCGGGCCTAAAGTGCATAGGGTGGCAGGTCTAGCGTCACCTGTCAATGTTTTCTTCTGGCCAGCTTGGGTCCTGCGCCTGTCGATGACATCACACTAGCTGATTGGATGGACATGCGACTTACGGAAGTTATTTTTACCATGTTCAAAACCATTGAAGTACTAAGAAACATGAATTTAATAACAAAACTGCTAAACTCATTCCAAAACATACATAAAATAGAATTGAAAAAGAGATGCAATAGACTACAATTGCACTGCAATCTCTAAAGCTGGGCGTACACTGTGCGACTTTTTCACTTTTTTGAGCCAATTTTCCAGTCGTGCGAGAATCCACGAGATCGGGGCGAGTTTTGCGCTGAGCGTCGTGTAGTGTACAGGGGGTTACGAGAGGCGAATAACACCACGTGACCAGCTACCGACCAGCAGTCGTGAGCTCGCACAAACTTCTGGCGTGTTTGAAAATTTTGCTCGTCCCTCGTGAGGGCATCGCACTGTTGAAGCGGTGCTGCGAGCAGCTGCGACCCAAAAAGTATCAGAACCGCTCATGGCGCATGCGCAATCCTGCATCAACTCCGCTCGCCCGCTATTTCCCCTAATAACACACGCTGTTCGTTTTTATTCTACACGTTTTTTTTTACTCACAAAGATTGTCAAGAAAGCGTGTTTGTCGTGTTCATGTCAAATTAAACTGATCACATAACACAGATTTACTTTTTTATTTCGTTTTCGTCATCCAACCCATAAATCCCTGTGTGTCCTCCTGCAGCACTCCCGAATGGACAACAGGCAAAACAAGACAAAAAAGTCTGACGTTGTTTGAGTAAAAACTGCTATTTTTAGCATATTTTTAGGGCCGACGTGTTGCTACCAGACGTACAGTGTGAGCAGTCAGGTCGCAACCGAGAACTGGGTCGTGCAGTGTGAGCACATGACTCGTGAGATCTGCTCTGCGAGGAAGTCGTACAGTTTGAGCTGAAGCTGAGTGCTACGAGTGAAAAATGTTGCACAGTGTCCGCCCAGCTTTATGGACTTAACTGAAGGACTATCAAAGTCTGAGGAGTCACGCCAACGTTGCATGCTTTCTGCTCCACAGGTAACATTCAACTGGAATGTTTTTTAAACTAGTGACAGTTGGGAAGATATGGTGTAATATACCCTGAACTGTTTGTATTACTGCATCCTAGTGGCAGGAAACTACACCCTGCCACTTTAATACGGTTTTACACATGCCACTCAAAGGAATTTTGCCTCTGGTCGCCTTCATATTTGTCGGCCTTAATCACCCTCTATGTGGTTTCCACCAGCTAGTAATGGTGTTTTAATAGCAACAATGCTAAATACTTTAGATGCGTTCCTGTTGCAAACTAAAGTCATTCAGGCATTTCAAAAAGTGCACATCAGGAAAACACACACACCTGGTATTCCTGGGGGGTAAAGTTGTCTATGACGAGCATCTGGAGCCGCAGCTCTCGGCTCAGCTGGCGGATGTTTTCCAGGAGGCCCTCGATCTCTCTGCTGTTCTCTTGTCGCAGATCTGCCATCTGACAAACAAATAATAGATAACATAAATTAAGTTATCGATGAATCCACATGAATTCATCCCTGATCAATCAAAACTATACATAATAAAAAGGTCAGCACTGCTCTCTGGTACTGAGGAACCTATGGCTCTTACACATTAGCGTTGGCACGGTCGGGGTTTGGTCTGGCTAGATGGCATTAGTGCGGTCTTGAACGGGCGGTGTGGCATTCACATATAAATCTGAGGGACTTCTCAGGAATGCCTGCGGGCGACATTTAATACACGCGGGAAAGTCCACGATACCCGCCATTATAAGTTAAACAAAGGCAGGCATGAGCTGCGTTGCTTTTGGAAACTCGGAACCACATTATTTGCTGTGTGTCCTCATAATCTTGTGACACACACACACACACACACACACACACAGAGGAGAGAGAGGGAGAGGGAGGGAGGGAGAGAGAGAGAGAGAGAGAGAGAGAGGTTTACTCAACAGCATCCAGCATGAAAATGAATCGCGCATGGGAACCCCCCCCCCCCATGGGTGTAATTTCAGCCTGCCAATCAGTCGGTAGTGTCGCCTCGGTCCCAGTCTGTCCACTGGGGAGAAGGTCTGACCCCCCCCCCCCCCCCCCCCCCCCCCCCCACACACACACACACACACACACCAAAAGGAACAAGTACACACTTGTTATTAAGCACAGGACATGCAGACTAAAAATATTTTTAGCATCATTGCTTTGGCACCCCCTCCAGCCTGGGTCCCCTATGCATCACATACGTTGAACACCCACTTTTTGCGCCACTGAGTCTGAGCACATTTGGTTCCTCTGTGTTTTATAATGTAGCACAGTTATGGTCTGGCGTGAGCATTTAGAGCTGGTAGGGGCTGACAATGAGTGGTATCCCAGCTGAGGTGTTGATTTGAAGATGATGAGGTGAAAGTTAAGCTACATGAAATGAGGTTTTATCTGTTTTGCTTACTTCTGATTTAGCAGCCATAAGCATGGTCCAGACTTTCTTCAGCTTCTTGGTCTTCCCTTGAGCCTCCTCCTGCAGGCTGGTGTACTTCTCTTCTATGTCTAAACGTTCTTGCTGTTTTAAGAGGAACAAAAGTCACAGATCACACCAAAAACAAGATTCCATTACAAACTATTACAACCTTGCACCACTGCACCATTCTCCATCGTTATTAAATGAAACAAAGGTTTTAACCTCTTTTCTAACCAAAATGTGAAAGCAATTTGACTGAACTGTGTGGTCTGTGGCAGCATGGTATCACATCCTGTCTGCTCCTGTGCAGGATGGTGGTGAGGCAGCAGGCTTATGGTAGAAGACATGGGTTTGTCTAGATTTAGCAAGATAATTATTACCGGTAAACAAGTCAACATTTTAATAAGCTTTACCGTAAAATGCAGCTTAAAGTTGGCGTTATTAATAAATGACTATTTGGTCACCTGCTCAGATTTCTAATCTGTAGATTATTGTGTAAATGAATTTGCATTTACCGAGCAGACAGCTGGTTTCATACCTCCTTCTCTTCAAGCTCCTTACGCAGCTGCTCGGCTCTCTTGCGACGTTCTTCGAGTTCATTGTTCGATTCATCCAGGAGCCTCTCCTGCTCCTCAGCCTTGGCCAGAAGGTCCACTCCTCCCACTATCACCTTCTTCTCTAAGGCAGATAATTTCTCTAAGAGAAGCTGATGCTCCTGCCTGAGAAGTTTAGATTATTAATGAGTAACTTCCACAAGTATTCAACAACATGTTGGTTTATTTTTGTCAACTCACTGGGCTTTAAAGAGGTCCTTCTCCCTTTTCTCCAGCTCTGCTCTGGCCTTGTTCCTCTCCTCCTCCTCCATGTCCAACTTGGCCTCTAACGCTTTTCTCTCTTCTTCTATCTTTGCCTGCATCTCCACCATCTTGCCTGGAGAAACCTTCTTCTTTCCTGATTGAAGAAAATGACAAAAAATACAAAATGTTCAAAAATGTCTTCTCACGATTTAGAAAAATTGAAGAGAGAACCGAGATCATGCTTATATCAGAGCGACTGAAGCAGACAGCAGCCACCTTCGTGTTTGTTGACTACTCCAGAGCTGGGATCACTTCACTGGCTACTCATCACTTAAGATGAAAATAGAAATTATTTTATTTGTTTTTAAAGCTTTAACTCTTTGGCACCAACCTACCTCACTGTTTTGTTGCAGACTGAAACTCAGGTTGTGTACTTGTTTACACACTGTGAGTTTGCGAGGTTGCTGAATCGGCAGTGAGCTAACACCACTAGATGCAGTTTGTACACATGGTCAGAGCTGTTCTTATATTTAGGAACATTTCTACACACAAGCAGAAAATGGAAAATACCACACAAACTCTGTTTAAATGGTAACTACTTCCTGCTTTCATTTTTTCTTTTAAAAGGAGAGAAAACTGAACACTCAGCTGGCTGAGAATGACATATTTCAGTGTAACCTTCCTTCCAACTTAATTGAGAGATTAGATTTTTTGTGATTATTTCACAGTAGAATTTTTACAAATTGCACCTTTAAAGAGTTGCATGAATTTTCTGTTCGGAGTTAGTTTAGTTCTGTTTGGAAACATTTGTTGCCTGAGTGCACTCCAGCCTTTTCTGACGACTACAAAGCTGTCAGCCAGTTTGGTTGCCTTGGCAAACCCGAGCAGATCAGCATGTGAAAAAATAAATAAAACGTTTCTCAACAGATTCAATTACTTAAACAATTTGTGGGTGAGGAGCACATGTGGATGACTGAGATCTTCAGCATTGCAGTTCCCTCATTCTACCACTAGATGCAGTTTGTACACATGGTCAGAGCTGTTCTTATATTTAGGAACATTTCTACACACAAGCAGAAAATGGAAAATACCACACAACATGTAAAATTGTTCCTCCTTACAAATCTGTCCGTAAGTATGGTTGATAACCGAGGACCTTGGAGTGTGAGAAAGAAAGAAAACTACCAAAAATAAAAACAACAAAACAACAGCCAGCAGAAATCAGACAGAGACAAGCAGAGAAAACAATTTCTCACAATGAGATTTGGTGGTTGAACTGAGTCTTTGATGTTCAGCTGATGCGCCAGACAGAATATATGTCAGACACAGAAAGACACAAAGGAAGTGACATGACGTCAAAAGTGTTACACAAGTATTTCTAGGAAAGGCATTTCAGAATGGGAGCTCCTTGATATCTTTAAAATAATAATTGAGTAGATATTTGATCACGGATCAACAAGGGATCTCTTCAGATAGATCAGTGTGTGCGTGTGTGTGAGGGGGCTTTACTGTGGGACCACAGGGGTGTCAAAGACATCAAAAATACTTTTCACACACGTGGTGCCATCAGTGAATGACTTGGGTGGTCTGGAAAACCACCTATAAGAAGAAATAAAACGCTCTTTGTTCCATAATAGTAAGGAACGTCTGTAGCTGCACATCAACCTGAGAATCATTAAAGATGTGGTTCACTTGTTTCATCAATACATTTGCAGTGGTCTCTAGTAGGAATGAAGGCCTTGTAAGTTGTGCTCTGAGTACAAACAGCTCTGGTGGGCCTGTTCGAGGGCATCAGTAGACAGGATTTGGGATCTTATTTCCTGATATTTAGACATCTCACCTCTGATTGGCTAACAGAAACGTGACTCTACCACTGACTTTGTTTACTTTGCAACTTTGATGTTTTATCTTCCCAAATAACAAAAGACTGGAGGATTTATGCCATATGGTAGTTACAATGCTAATGGTTAGCTTTTACCAGCAGAGACGTTCTCTGCCGTTTCCTGGATGCGAAACTTTAGGTTACTGTCGTAACCCCGGTTCTCTGAGTAACATGAGTGAGATGTCTCACTATGGGATACGCCCCTCCGCGGATTTCTCAGAAGCACTTATCTCAATACGCCAATCCTGATTGGCCAGTGACCGTGACGTACGCGTCCCCCTGCTACTATAAGTAGCAAGCGTCCCAACGTACGCACTATTCAAGATAAACACCTCTTCTCGCTTCGCCCAGCAAGAAGGGTTGTCTGGTGAGACATCTCACTCATGTTACTCAGAGAACCGGGGTTACGACAGTAACCTAAAGTTCTCTTTCTTAACATTCGTTTCGATGTCTCACTATGGGATATGGAGACTCCCGTATTGCCAGACAGCTTATCCAGCGATCACCAACCTACAGGGATACGTCTTGGCCCGCCAAAGACCCCACACTCAGAATCGTGTGAGTCATTGCAGGGACCGAAACATCAAGCTTATAGAAGCGTGCAAATGCAAGTGGAGAAGCCCAACTTGCTGCAGCACAAATCTCCTGGATTGACTGCCCCCGAAAAAGGGCCCAAGAAGCAGACAGGCCCCTAGTAGAATGGGCCCTGAGCCCAACAGGAGCCTGAATGCCCTGACAGGAGTAAGCCATAGAAATAGCCTCCACAATCCAGTGGGAAAGCCTCTGCTTTGTGACGGGTTTCCCCTTACGAGGCCCACCCCATAACACAAAAAGCTGGTCCCCCCTGCAAAGGTTCTCCGTCCGATTCACATACTCCTTGAGCGTGCGAATCGGACACAGCTTGTGCCACCGCTCCTCCTCAGGAGAGGAGAAGGGTGGCGGGTAGAAAGCTGTGAGGATAATAGGAGAAAAGGAGCCCACCACCTTAGGCACAAAGGCAGGGTTGGGCTTCAAGGACACCTTCATGTCACCGGGTGCAAACTGGGTGCAGGATGGGTGCACAGAGAGAGCCTGTAAGTCACTAACTCGCTTTGCAGATACCAAAGCCAGGAGTAGCACCACCTTAAAAGACAGGATTTTAAGGTCCAGGCCGTCCATAGGTTCAAATGGAGGCCCGGAGAGGGCCGACAGCACCAAGGACAGATCCCATGAGGGCACCAGGGGTCGAGACACAGGGAGAAGCCAGCTCGCCCCTCATGAAGCTACACACCAGGGGGTGTTGACCTGCCAATTTCTTCCCAAAACCCAAGTGTCAGGCGGAAATGGCTGCTAGGTACATTTTAATGGTGGAGAAAGCCTTCTTCCCATCCAACAAGTCTTGCAGGAAAGACAGAATGACGTTCACCGGGCATTGGAAGGGTGAGACCTCCCTGCCCTGACACCAGGCTTCAAACACCCTCCATTTACAGTCATATAGGGACCTAGTGGAGGGGGCCCTAGCATTCTGAATGGTTCGAATGACTGCCTGGGGCAGCTCTGCTGACACTAGCCCGCACCCCTCAGGGGCCAGGCCCACAGGGCCAGCCGTTCTGGATGAGGGTGGAAGATCGAGCCTCCCGCTTGGGACACCAGGTCCCTGCGAAGCGGAAGTTTCCAAGGTTGGCCCTCCAGGAGCTGGAAAATGTCCGCCACCCAATGCATGGCTGGCCAGTATGGGGCCACCAGAATGAGAGTGTGGAGCTGGGTTCGTACCCTCAGCAAGGTGGGTGGTATCAGGGCCACTGGGGGAAAAGCGTAAAGCAGTCCCCGTGGCCAGTCGTGCGCCAGCGCGTCCACGCCGAGTGGAGCGTCTCGGTCGCGCAGAGGACAGTGAGCATTCTCCTTGGAGGCAAAAAGATCCACTACGGCTGTGCCGAACCGGATCCAAATCTGTTCCAACACTGCTGGATGCAGGCTCCAATCCCCGTACAGGGGTGTCCCTCTGGACAACAGATACGCCCCCCGATTCAGAACACCCGGGACATGGGTGGCTCTGATTGAGAGGAGATGCCTGCTGCACCATAGGATCAGTCTGCGTGCCAGCGTGTGTAACCGCATGGAGCGCAGCCCCCCCTGGTGGTTTATATAAGCCACAGTCATGGTGTTGTCTGTTCTCCCTAGGACATGATGGCCGGAGAGAAAAGGCAGGAAGCGCCTCAGGGCTAGAAAGACGGCGAGGAGTCAGATAATTTATGTGTGTCCCCCAGAGCTCTCTGCTCCACACACCCCTGACAGAGCGACCCTCCAGGAGCGCCCCCCCCCCCCACCAACCTGACAGGCTCGCATCTGTCGTGACCACTTTCCTCACGAGAACCAACCCCAACAACTACCCCTGACTGCATCCCGGAGATTGGGGCGGGGCTAAATGTGGGCGGGGTCAAACGTTTAGAGGTGGGTGGAGACAACTATTTGACTCCTGCGTCCTGCCCCTCTCTCAATGGAACCAGGAAACCGCTGTGTGTGTGCAATGCTGTAGCCGGGACAGAGGGAAGTAGCTGCCAAAATCAAGGTAAGCCAGGATTTTTCTTTCTCTGTTTTAACAATATCGAGGACCAATGTTGGGCGAACGTTTTATGAACTTGGAAATTAAAGGTTTTTTCCCCATTATGAGTTTTAGATGATACATATAGCCTATTTTACACATGCGGGGTGACTTACTTTTGAGGAGAAATGTTTACAGGGTTCCCGCGGAGTCTTAAAAGCATTGAATTTATGAATTTGAAAGTAATACCTTTAAAAGACTAGAGAAACCCTTCAATTTTGGCATCTGGGTCTTAAAATTTGTGTTGGATGTAAGTTTTCTGTACTGCATTTTTCTTCTGAAGTTCATCAAAATATTCCAAACAAGTGATGACATGAAGAGAAGCACTAGTATTAATAAAGGCTATTTTTAGACATTTATTTCAATTTTGTGTCTTTACTGTTTGCACTGTTGCTTTTATACAATAGAAATACTGCAAGAAATTAGGGTAATAAAATTAACAATAATAAAAAAAACGTCTTAAAATTAAACTAAAATATAGGCAACAAAAATTATTGTTAAGGTTCTAATGTAAAACCAGAGATCCGGTTATATTTTTAACCATTTGTTTAAAAATATCACCGATCTTCTACCAAGTGCCCACCCAGTGTTTTGTCAAAATATATTGGTAAAGTTGTATAGATAAATAAATGAAAACTAGTTCAAGAATTTTATTTTATTTATTTACTTTTTTGCTGATAGTGCTGTGAAA